GGGGGGGGGTTTCCTTTGAGGATTGTGCGAGTCTCAACGGTCGATCGCCAATCTGGGGTCAGCTCTTCACTCCTGTAAGAGTGATGGACAGCCAGGGTTCACAGAGGCCGTACTCCTGCCTGTTGGACTAAAGGTCATCTGTACTGACGGCTAAAACAGACTGGTGGGAAAAAAAAGCTCCTTCTCCAACAGAGACGCTTCATCCGCAGGAGGTCTTAGGGCCTACTGAGACCTGAGGGTAAGGACAAAACGATGTCTTCACTGCTGTGTTTTTTTCCAGTTATCCTCATTTAAAAAAAAACACCAACGAAAACCACATTTCCGCACTCATTGCAGAGGCAGGGCTGAGGAAGAGGAAGGCCTGGACGGGCCCGTGAAGTCCCTGGGAGGCCGTTTGTAAGACCACCTGGACAAAAGAAGACCCTGAAGGTCTCTTCAAGTGTTCCCGTAAATGATGCCGTCACCCAGAAGCGGTAAAACTCTTTTTGCTCATGTAAATAATCTCATTAAAGTGGAAATTCAGGTTTAGATTGTCTGTGAATGATAGTTTATTTCAGTGATAGAAGCAGTGAATTATTTAGTTTCCAAACTTTTTGGGATTTATTCTTATAGACCAGTGTTGATGGTTTAGTTTGAAAAAAGAGGGAAAACTCTACCCCCGGTGCTGTAAGGAGAGGGAGGGAGTCGAGATCCGCAGTACTGAGAGCTCCATCTAGTGTTCTGAGACGGCCGAACCCTCTCAGATCTGGTTGAAACAGGAATCCATTGAGGACAATAAAAACTGCGCAGCTGAACTTCCTCCGGGCAAAAAAAAAAACAAAACACTGAATGGTGCATTCACAGGCCCGGGCGTGAATTAAAAACCGTTTAGTTCACGCTTATCTGTCGCAAATTTTTCAGTGGATCCCAAATATAGTTTTGACCTTTTTATTTAGGACATTTGTGGATTTCTTTCTTTTTTTCCCCCCACATTCAGCATTTCCTTTCACTCCCAGAGGACCTCTAGGGTTAGGCCCATGGATGATATCATGAAAACTCCCAGTAAACAACCCTTTTTTTATCACTGAAACATGTGGACTGTCCCCTTAAAACAGACATGCAGAATTTTCAGGGACAACACAGGAGTTTTTTTCAAATCTTTAAATAGGCCCTATTAATTTCCTAATATTAATTATTGAATGATACATATCATTATAACTTTTTATTATGAAATCCTTCATATTGTTTGGATGGAGCTAAAATATTTATCCTCTCTATTCTCATTTTTACCTTCTGTGAACACCCAAAATGCGACAGAGAACCCAGAAAGTGCTTCCCCTTTCTGTTTAAACACTCTTAAACAGATTCAGTTGAACTTATCTGTTGCCATCTCAGGGCCGGCGAGATACCAAAGTCATCTGAAGGCAGGAAATGTTGTAACTATCACCAGAAAACAGGGGACGGTTGCTCCACCTCCCAGCCCCCGCCCCCGCCCCCCTGTAGTAGCTATAAGAGGGCGCGTGGCGCTCTCCGGCCGGACTTCACTCACAGAGATCTCATTATAGGTGCACTGTGAGTAGGATAACAGCACTGACCTTTCCCCCTCTTCAAAAACCAGGACCATCCAGACAGCAGAATGGTGAGTTTGGGGGCTTTTTTACGGGGGGAAAGGGGGGGAGGGTGGTGGTTTGAGCAATTTGGCTCTGCTTTCATTCCTCTGCTGTGTTTCCATTCCACTCCGGCTGGACTCCGACTTACTGAAAGTGTGAAATGTCACTTGTGACTTCCTGATTCGGAGCTTGCTTCTTAAATTCGGCGGCCACATGCTTCTCCGGAAAGCTCTGGAAAGGCTAAGGCTCGCCCACGGGTGGAAATACGCCTCCGGGAAAAAGGTTAACGGCTTCCAGATGGCCAACGGTGAACCCTGGGTTCTTCTTGGGAATGCTGATGTGGCTTCCAGAAGCTGTTTTTATTCTTTGGGGGGGGAGTTTTACGCTTGTTTCCTCGGCGTCCCGTTGAGCGGCTGGGTTTCCTGCTGCTGAGCGGGGAGGATTGCAGAAGCCCGGGGCCTTTGCAACACGCGTGCAAACAGTTCAGAGTGGCGCAATGTTTGCATGTCACTCAGCGGGAAAAGGGCCATTCACCCCCCCCCCCCCC